GGCCAACATTGTGAAACCCTGCCTCTACTAAAATACATACATATATACACACAAAAAAAATGAAATGGAGAAGTTTGCTAACAGAAAACTAAGTGTGTATATATATATATATATATATATATATATATATCTCAAAGCAATAGTGAAGCAAATCAGCTTTATAATTCCTCTTACCTAACAGCTATTATGTAATACATAGATTTAGAGGCTCACAACGAATGAGTGACAGAATCAAGATGACAAAGATTTCTCTCTCATCCATATTTTTATTCTTGAATATATTTAAAATTTTAAATGCAGCATTCGTTAAAAACCCATTTTCAAGGTGTAAATCCAGCTATGGAATATCTTTTCATGGCATGGTAGAGAATCCAGCAAAATCTCAAGAGATCACTTGCATTAATTTTGCCAAACAACAACATGCCCATAAATCAGCTGACTTTAAAAAATGACTCACTGCTCCTACAGTCTTTATCATGGAAGCAGCTCTAGACTGTGAGTCAGGAAGCTCAACTGGGCTCTCAGGATGAACTAGAAAGAAATCACTTAAGAGACCTGTTTGTGTTTCTCTTCTGTCAAGGACACTGTTTACAATGGTGTCACAAGGGGAAAAAATGAGACTATTCACTGGATCTAAATACTACATGAATTATTTCCCTCCCAAAATCTCTTTCTTGAACTATACTTTTGAAAACCACAGTATTCTCTTTGATATTGGCTCATTTTTTTGTCAGAGCTGCTTTGCTTTCACGAATTTTCTTCAAGGTAATCACTAGCTCACAAACCAGAGGCAGGGGCACAGGGCAGGGCAAAACTGGTTCTATACCAGTTTAAGAGCATTGCTTTCTGCAACGGAAAAGTTTCCCTCCCCAGAGTCAAAGAGATCCACCAAAAAGCAGCTTCATATTAATCTCAGGAACAATCTGACTTTGCTTCTTAATGATTTTTCAAAGCTTCATTAACACTAATTTTAGTCAAATTCAAGTTAAAAATTGAGAGAGTTGACTGAACCTACCCTCCTTCGGCAGTTTGTCTATAAATCCTTCCTTTTGAGAAGTTCCATGCTCAGCCACTAGATCCAACTCCCCCATTCCCACCCATACAGCCCTGCCCCAGAGTAGAGAAGGGACAGGAGTTCTCAAGGTAGCATCAGGTGATTTTTTTAAACTGGCTAATCCCTGATGGTAGTTCAAGGTATGTATATTTTTCTTTTTGGAATTCAGGGATTTGCTTCAATGAGAGGTTTAGCAGAGAAGGGGAAACAGACAAAGCCCTCCTTTTTACTGTATCCATCAACATCATTCCTCAGTATAAAGCACAGTTAATCCCTGCAGAAAAAAAAAAGTGTATCAACTGTTAGGTTTACTTGTAGCTAGTTTTTATATCTCTTTTTTTTTTTTTTTTTTTTTTTTTTTTTGAGGCGGAGTTTCGCTCTTGTTACCCAGGTTGGAGTGCAATGGCACGATCTCGGCTCACCGCAACCTCCGCCTCCTGGGTTCAGGCAATTCTCCTGCCTCAGCCTCCTGAGTAGCTGGGATTACAGGCACGTGCCACCATGCCCAGCCAATTTTTTGTATTTTTAGTAGAGACAGGGTTTCACCATGTTGACCAGGATGGTCTCGATCTCTCGACCTCGTGATCCACCCGCCTCGGCCTCCCAAAGTGCTGGGATTACAGGCTTGAGCCACCGCGCCCGGCTAGTTTTTATATCTCTATAAAAGAATAGTCTGGATGCACTTTCCATTAGAGTCCAGAAACTAAAGCCATATTCTGTTAACTATTTCACATTAAGGAAAGCAAGTTTGTTGCAATTTCCACAAGGAAGTATGTTCAATGTGTCTGTTATGTTTATAGGTTCCAAAGAAAGCAAAAATTTATCTCAGAGCTCAGACACTGCATATGAACTGCTTTAACTGACATGGCATTTCTCAGTGACCACCTTTCTCCACAACTCTGGGAACACAATAAACCAAATACTCATTGTTTTCAAAATACAGCCCCCAAAATATCTAAATTTTAAAAGCTAGGCAATTCACATTTTAGTCGAGAAACATCTTCCAACTTTAAGAAATCAACCACAAAACAAATTTCCTACTATTAGGTTTTAATATGAGGTAGAGGAATATATGGCCTTAATTTATAAAAGTTCACAAGCCAAGAAATACTTAGGTAATCTCTCGCTTCAAAGTACTTCTATCTTATGTAGGGGAGACTAAAATGTGTGATACAATATATTGCCTTATGGAGTGAAACAGACAGGAATATACTGCCTAATCCATTCACATAAAAAATTAGTCATATGTCACCCATCAATATCAAATCAGGAATGACATTACCTTAGAGCAATGCCAAATAATGGCAGAAAAATATCGTGTGTTGACTCCTGTATTCACTATCACTGCTACAAAATTCAGTTTCATATAAGTTCTCATCTACTTCTGCTACAAAAAAAGAAAGAAAGAAAAAGAAAGATAGATAGATCAAGCTAAATAATACACAATGAAACTAGTGTGGTTAAATATCAAGCTATGAATCTATAAGTACAATGAGTCTGTCAGTCTAAATTAATTGTCTCAAGAGCAAACAAACACTAATGTGTAGCACATGGTCAAGATTTCACTAGTTGAGATTTTACATCACAGGTGATGTTTTGGTTTCTCTTAGCACTACTCAGGGCTATGTGGCCTAGGCTTCAGTTCCCCTGAAATTCAAAAATACCATGAATCTTCTCCATATATTCCCTTTAGATCTCAAAGATTACCTTCTCTCCCATAGAGCACAAAATCTGAATGATCTTGGACCACATTCCAGGTGTAACCAAAGAAAATGGACATTTACAACATATGAAATATATTCCCAACACACAGACTAAGAAAACGACGTAACAGTCTTGTGGCTTTGTTCCTTGTTCCAGGGCATGTCAGAAGACCAGGTAAATGATCAGAAATAAGCACAATCCTCCTATTTTAATTGCTGGCAAGCTGAACCACCATACTGGTAACTCAAGATTATTACATATTGCAAACAAGCCATTTTATCAGGAATCATTCTTTGTACTGTTATACGGAGGCTTGGAAGCTCCCTTTAACATCTCACCTCAGCATTAAAGAGGAAGCACGTAAGGGAGGAAGCGTGCAAAGCAGATCTGGAGTCAGGCGTTGTTCCACATTTGTGACCTCAGGCAAGAAACAGCCAGGCTGGACCTCAGTTTCCTTAACTACCAAATGTGGATAATAAAAGTACTTACCTATTTAGGTGCCTGAGAAGAGTTAAAGGGCTAATCCAATTAAAGCTGCTTAACGCTGTGCCTGGCACACAGCAGTGTCCAATTTAGCTTGTGTCTCATTTTATTTTTATCATTAGTTTAAGAGTGCTGGCACTGAATCTCTCGCACCTGTATCAAATCCCTGCTCTATTACTGAGCTCTGTCACAGCATTCACTAACTTCACAGACCAGGGTATCTTAATGGAAGATTTTGTGCCATGGACCCCAGAGCAGTCTGATGAATAATGGCAGAATAATGTTTTTAAATACAGTAAATAAAATACGTAAGAATAGAAAAGGAACAGATTATATAAACATCTATTACAACATTTAAAAGACAAATTAATGGTATAATACTGTTTTTACTAGGGAACTAAGCAAGATAAAGCAGCTCCTTAATTTCCTGTGTTGAAAACATAAAAATTATTTCAAGATATCTGCAACAATTGTAATAAGATTATGAAAAGACCTATAGTTTCTATTTGTGGTAACAGCACACGGACTGGTAGTCTAGTTTTATCTATACTTCTACTTAAAAAGAAAGAAATTTCAGCTAAAGATTAACAAAAATAGAGATGCAACCTGTGTTTCTCAACCAAGTTCTCCTACTACTTGGCCCCAGATTAACAACTACTTTCTTAAAACTGTAGATAAAATGGAGGCAGAGGATAAACCACTGGGTTGAGAGGATGAATACAAAAAGCAAGTAGCACATAGGAGGTACTCTATATAGAAAAGCTCTTTCCTTCCTAGAAAGTTCTACTTCGTAGGAAAAAAAAAAACTCAGTCTTATGCAGCCCAAACGTGAACATTTAACATCCATTTCTCTCCATGATCTCAGTCTTCAGACGTGAAATTTGTTAAGCCTTCCGACACCTCCCCAAATCACTGTCCTACATCAAATATCAGCTTGAAGAGCCCTCTTATTTTAAATATGTGAGACCAAACTGCTTTCTAGTAAAACACAGTTGAAAGAGAATGTATATAACTCCTAAGTGTCCCTTAGCACCAACTGCTGTCCTAACTAAAATAAAATCGCACAGAACAGTTTGGATCTCATCATCATCACTCACGCCTTGTCATCACTCTCCTTTAACGCTCATTACAAAACCGGTAACAAACCATGGAAAGACAGGGCTTGAGGTTCTTACAATAGCGCTCCTCTGACAGCAACTGCAGTTCATTATCCTCTCTCCCCTTCACCGCCCCGGCGCGGTCCCGGTCTTTGCCTACTCAGCAGATTCACGGAAGCCGGGCAGTTTTATGTGGAATCCTACATTTTGGCAGTAAAATTTTCACTCACCAGGCAAATCCTCACCCACCCTCTCCAAGGCGAACTATGTTTTACATTCATCGTATTTCTGAACTTCCCCTCGAGACACCAGCCAGAAATCCAGAGAACCGAGGGGTGAACGCACAAAGAACCCAAAATGGAAATTTGGGCAAGGGCGGACAAGTGAAATCAACTTAATGTCCCGGAAAATAACATTTCTGGGGGAAGGAGGTAAATATCCAACTTCAAGCTTCACTTTAACTCCAACCCTCTCGCCGCTGTGCAGAAATTGTCCAGCACGTTCTCCGAACTGTTTTTTCTCTGACATGTAGTCACGAGCCACAGCCTCGGGAATGACGAGAGGGCAATGACAAAGCTGCTTCCTGCCCGTCTCCTTCCCCGCACCCTTCAGCTCCCCTCGCCACCAACGCCTTTAAAAAGTTTCTCCGGCGCCCGGCTTACCTGGACTGGGCTGCCATCCTTCAGCTTACAGAGCCCAGGGTCTTCCGTCCGTGAGCGCCTTCACCCCGCGGGCCCTGCCGCCAGCGCCGCCGCTCACCATTTGGCGGAGCCGGGCGGGGACGCGTCCCGGCGCGGCGCCCCGATGGTACGGGACTACCTGCTGTGGAGCCCCGGGCGTCCTCGGCGCAGCCCCGGGCTCGGCCCGTATTGGCTCGCGCTAATCCTGATGGACATCCGGGGACTGGGGCCTCGGCGGCGAGCCGCACTTCAGACGAGCCGGGGAGCGCCGCGTCCGAATCCGGAGCGAGCGAGCGCCCCCGCCGCGGTTTCCGTGCAGGGAAAGCCCACGAGCCCCCGCGATGGAAGACCGCTGGCGCCCGGCGCCTGCCCAGCAGCGGCACGACGCAAGCCACAGTTAGAAGGGAAAAGAAATCGCCTCTTGGCTCCCTTCAAGTTGCCCGAGTTCGCCGGGATACCCCCTGTCAAGAAAGTTGCGGTGGTACGGCCCGCCTCCTTAAATGGGCAGGGCGCTCCGCGGCCCGAACCAGAGGCAGGCAGGAGGCAGGGGGCTGGAGGGCAGGGAGGCAGGAGGCAGGAGGCAGGGGGCAGGGAGGCAGGGAGGCAGGGGGCTGGAGGCAGGAGGCAGGGAGGCTGGAGGCAGGGTCGGGCGGGGGGCCGGGGGCAGGGCCCGGGCGCCGACCAGCACCAAGGGTCTGCGGCCGAACCCCGCCTGCGGGCTCCTCGCGAGTGCTCTCGTGCCAGGTTCTAACAACCTACAGACTCCCACCGCCGGAACACACAGTACCCGGCCGCTCAGAACTCCAGCCCCAATTTGAGTATTTGTTGAATATAGGCCCCAAGAGGCGGCAGTGAGCTGGAACAAGACGGGCAGTAAACCACGTTCGCTACGTTTGATCCTTCCAATGCTTGAGCTCAGGAAACGGGCACACTTAGTGTTACTTTGCTTTCAGTTTTCATTTCCGTACGTAGAGACAAATGTATACAAAACACCCTGCTCTTTTATGGACTACTGGCAGATTCCAGAAAAAAATAGTCACTCATTTTGGTCGTAAGCAATGAAGGGATTGACAGGAAGCAAACAAAAAAACGTGAGCATGCAATATAGTAAGTCCTATACGAGGCACAAACGAAATTACTTCCTACTCAGAGGGCCATGGAAGGCGTTTAAGTCGTGCCTCAAGGAAAGCAGGAACATACTTGGATGAGCAGGGATGGAGGGAGGTTGTTTCAGCATCTCATAGCGACCATCACCACACTGGAGGAGCTGACGACTCTAGATGAATGCTGCATTAACTGCCTGCACCGTGGACTCCCCATTCCTCTACCTAGAATCATGACAACATTGCCCGTCTCATAAAGAGATGGTCCAGATGGTATTACTAAATCATCATGGAATACAAACATGTTAATGCCTGGCACTAATACGGCAATGCTAGGACGGTGGGAGTGTGGGAGGAAGGCCCAAGGCACCTCTATCAAGGGTTCTCAAAGTGTTTACTAGACTCCTGGGAGTCCCCAAGACCTTCTCAGAGGTCAGAACTATTTTTAGAATAATACAGAGACATTATTTGTCTTTTCACCATGCTGACATTTGCACTGATGGTGCAAAAGCAATTATGAGGAAACTGCTGGTGCCTTCGCACTAATCAAAGCAGTGGCAGCAATTGAAACTAGTAGTCACTGCATTCTTCACTACCACACATTAGTAGTTGAAAGGGAAAAAAAAGCCAGTTTCCTTTATGAATGTCTTTAACGAAGCAGTCAGAATTATTGCTTTCATTAAATCTTGACCCTTGAGCATGGGTCTTATTGATGTTCTTTGTGACAAAATGGGAAGTACCCATGAAGCAGTCTACTGCACACTGAAGTACAATGGCTGTCTAGAAGAAAAGCACTTGTGTAATTGAGTTGCAGGCTGAGCTAGCTGTTTTTTCATGGACTACCATTTTTACTTGAAAGCACAATTCACAAACTGTAGTTATTCTTACTTGGGTATCTGGCAGACATTTTATTAAAAATGAACAAAGTTGAGCCTGTTTCTTTGAGGAAAACAATTGATAGTATTTATTGCCAATGATGAAATGTAAGCTTTCAAGCATTTTGGAAGACTTTTTACATCTGCTACATAAGCTTGCAAGCTTTGCCAGTATTTAAAGACTTTCCTGATGAGATCAGGGTGGCAGTGATCAAAGTGATTTGAGAAGATCTGCCTTAGTTTCCAAATGACCAATGGTATAGCGAAATCATGCATGGGTAGACGGGATGCAGTGGCTCGTGCCTGTAATCCCAGCACTTTGGGAGGCCAAGGCAGGCAGATCGTTTAAGCTCACTAGTTTGATACTGGAACCTGGGCAACATGGAGAGACCCCATTTCTACCCAAAACACAAAAAATTAGTTGGGCATGGTTGCACACATGGGTGATCCCAGATACTTGGGAGGTGGAAGTTGCAGTAAGCCGAGATTGTGCCACTGTACTCCAGCCTGGGTGACAGGGTGAAAGACTCCTCAAAACAAGCAAAAGCCAAAATCATGCATGGATGGAAGATCCACTGAAAAAAGTGCAAACCAGACCAACTCATTTTAACGTATCAGAGGTCTAGTTTTGTTTTTTTTTTTAATTCATTTCAGGTTCCACAATGTAATTAACCTTTAAGAAACTACCACTGCCGGGCGCGGTGGCTCAAGCCTGTAATCCCAGCACTTTGGGAGGCCGAGGCGGGTAGATCACGAGGTCAAGAGATCGAGATCAACCTGGTCAACATGGTGAAACCCCATCTCTACTAAAAATACAAAAAATCAGCTGGGCGTGGTGGCACGTGCCTGTAATCCCAGCTACTCAGGAGGCTGAGGCAGGAGAATTGCCTGAACCCAGGAGGCGGAGGTTGCGGTGAGCCGAGATTGCGCCATTGCACTCCAGCCTGGGTAACAAGAGCGAAACTCCGTCTCAAAAAAAAAAAAAAGAAAGTACCACTTAAGGAGTTTTGGTATAATATCAAAGAAGGGATTAAAAATACTCGTCCTGTTTGTGTGTGAAGTTGGATTTTCTTTATAAACTTCAACCAAAACAACATTTCAACAGGTTGAATAGAGAATCAGATTCAATCTGGTTGGGTTGGGCATCCCAAATCTGAATATCTGAAATCCAAAATGTTCCAAAAATCCAAAACTTTTTGAATACTGACATGACGCTCAAAAGAAATGCTTACTGGAACAATAATATACAATGCAAAATATTTTTTTAAAAATCTGAAATCCAAAACACTTCTGGTCTCAAGCATTTTGGTTAACCTCTGTGAGAATCCAGCTGTCTTCTATTAAGCTAGACAGTAAAGAGATTTGCATGAATGTAAAATAATGCCATTTTTTCTCAATAATTTTTTTAAGTTTGGAAAATAGGTTTTATAAAAATTTTATTTAGGTCAATATGTAATGGGTTTTTAAAATAATATTTTAATATATTAAAATTAATTTTAATTTTTAATATAGTAAATAATATATAAAACATACATATACAAAACCTCTTGGGTTTCATGGTAATTGAAGTACAAAATTATTCCATATCATTTGTTAATACTTCCATGTCTCCCTCACCTCTCCACATTCATCAAGTCTTCTTTTAATTAAAGGTGTTATATTTTATAGCTATTCCATGTAACCTCTTAGCACCTAGATCAGTTTTAGCAAAATGTGGTCAAACCACCTGGGGCATATGTTAAAAACAGACTTCAGATCCTAGTTGCAGAAATGCTGAAATAGAATCCTTGAGGGGTGAAGTTCCAGGGATAGTATTTCAATAAATTCTCCAGATGATGCCTGTGGTCTGCTTATATTTAAAAACCATTTACCTAGATTGTGCTTATTTAGAAAATAATGTTAAGAGCTTTTTGATTCAATATTGATTTATAATCCTTGAATCATTTTAAGGACCATAACTGGGCCAGCATTTATTTTCATTTGTAAGAAATCTGTATCAGACAACAAAATACCTTTGTACACATCTTTTCTTTTGCAATAGTAAAGTGGTAAGCCTTCAAGGAAACCAGGCAAAAGTCTACTCTCAAGGATTTTTTGGCAGCTGTTTTTCCCCATTTTTCTCTTGCTGTTTTATCTATACCAACTGTGATCATTTTATGCTATAAACAAATTGGTATCAGACATTAATTGCTGAAAAAAAATTTTGTAATAACAGTTACTCATAAAATGTCCATTTAGCACGCTAGAAATATAACACTGATAATATTAAAATTATACTTTTTGAACTATGTTAATTGATCTGACACCACTTAAATATGAGGAAATAGGCCAGGCATGGTAGCTCATGCCTGTAATCCCAGTGCTTTGAGAGGCCAAGGTAAAATTGCTTGAGGGCAGGAATTTGACACCAGCCTGGGCAACATAGCAAGTCCTTGTCTCTATTTTTAAAAAATTTAAAAATTAGCTAAACATGTAGTTCTAGCTACTTGAAAGGCTGAGGCAGGAGGATTGCTTAAGCCCAGGAGTTCAAGGCTGCAGTGAGCTATGAGGGCACCACTGAACTCCAGCCTAGATGACAGGGCAAGGCCTAGTTCAAATGAATAAATAAATGGAAATTTTTTTTTTTTTTTTTTTTTTTTTTTTTTTTTTTTTTTTTTTTGAGACAGAGTTTTGATCTTGTTGCCAAGGCTGGAGGGCAATGGCACAATCTCGGCTCACTGCAACCTCCGCCTCCCGGGTTCAAACCATTCTCCTGCCTCAGCCTCCCAAGCAGCTGGGATTACAGGCATGCGCCACCACACCTAGTTAATTTTGTATTTTTAGTAGAGACAGGGTTTCTCCATGTTGGTCAGGCTGGTCTGAACTCCTGATTTCAGATGATCCACCCACCTCAGCCTCAGAAAGTGCTGGGATTACAGGCATGAGCGCCACCACACCCAGCGAAAAATAAAATTTACTACAGCAAATATTTACCCCAAAAGATACATGGAATCAATACCAGATTAGAATTATGCCTGAAATTTCCTGGGCTCTCAAAATGGTTTATAATGTAAATTCATGGGAGTAATTTGAAACAAGTGGGACACTAGATTTGTAATACATCTAAAATTACTGAGCACAGGAGAAATGATTTATGCCTTGGATACTGTATGTGGCTAAAAAGTACTGCAATACAAACATGGGCATTATTATTTCCAAGTGTTTTGAAAACACCGTTTTATCCAACCCACCGTCTTGAGCAGAGAAACTGAAAAGGCATTCTTAACCTTTGACGGGCACAGAATTCTTTGGCTTTTTGATGAAATTTGAGGACATTGAAGTACAACCTTTGACTTCCATGCAGTTTATGATTCCCCTGAAACCCACTTAGGAAGCACATGAGGCTCCACAGATTTCAGATTAAGAATCTCTGGACCTGGCTCCTG